TAATCCTGATGATTTTAATTTCTCTGATGAAATGATACCTGACATCTATATGTTTGGTTCTTTCATGATACATCTGATGCTTCGTCAAATGTATAGCACTCTGACTGTCACAAAATACCGTAGTAACACCTTGGTGTAAGCCGAGATCTTCAACCAAACCTCTCAACCAAATAGCTTCTTTCACTGCTTCTGTCACTGCCATATACTCTGCCTCTGTAGTAGACAAAGCAACCGTCGACTGTAGAGTCGCCTTCCAACTAATGGCACTACCTGAAAGAGTGAATATATAACCTGTCAGGGATCGTCTCTTATCCAAATCACCCGCATAATCTGAATCAGAATAGCCAAGTATTCTGCAATCTGAGTCTGTGTTCCTGCCAAAATACAAAGCGGAGTCTTCACAGGCTTGGCATCAAGCATGCCAAATCTCTCCAATACCTTCTTGATGTATTTCTCCTGAGATAGGAATAAACTCCCTTCTCGTCTGTTCCTGTGGATCTCCATCCCCAAAATCTTCTTTGCTGCTCCCAAGTCTTTCATCTCAAACTCATGTTTGAGTTGAGATTTTAACTCGTTAATTTCTGACATATCTTTAGCTGCAATCAACATGTCATCAACATACAAAAGCAAATATACAAAACAACCATCATTGAGCTTTTTATGATAAACACAACTATCATATTTACTCCTAGAGTAACCATGCTCAAACATGAAAGTATCAAATCTCAAATACCACTGTCTTGGAGACTGCTTCAACCCATAAAGAGATTTCTTCAACCTGCACACATGATCTTCTTTACCTTCAACAATGAATCCCTCTGGCTGATGCATAAAGATCTGCTCCTTAAGCTCGCAATGTAGAAAAGCTGTTTTCACATCAAGTTGCTCAAGCTCCAAATTAAAATAAGCAACCATGGAAAGCAACACGCGGATTGAAGTGTGTTTTACAACTGGAGAGAATACTTCATTGAAGTCCACACCTTCGGTCTGACTGTAGCCTTTAGCTACCAAGCGTGCCTTATACCTTACAGAATCTGTATCCGGAGCTCCTTCTTTCTTCTTGAATACCCATTTACAGCCAACGATCTTCTGTCCCCTTGGTGGCTTCACTAACTCCCATGTCATCGCAACAGTCCATTTTGCAGCCTCATTGCCACTAATAGCCTCCTTGTATGTAGAAGGCTCTGGAACCTCAATCGATTCTGCTATACTCAAAGCATAAGCAAGCATGTCTGCATAGCGTTGAGGAGGTCGGATCTGCCTTTTTGTTCTCCCATTGGCAATATTATACTGTTGCTCTTGCGGTGTATTAGTATCTGAAGTTGAACCTTCTGCAGTATCAACTGGTTCAACATAAGCGCCCTCAAGCACTCTCTTTGAAGTTGAGCTCTCTAGCTCCACCTGCTTGGTAGACTCCTTTTGAGTACCTGTAGTGTCAATAACAAACTCCTTTCTCGGGTGAAGTATGGATTTTTCCATCAAAAGTAACATCCCTACTAATAATAAATTTAGGTGACTTGGGATCAGAACACCATAATCTATATCCCTTCACCCCAGTAGCATATCCTAGAAAGATAGCTTTCTTTGCTCTGGGTTCAAGCTTACCATCATTAACATGAAAATAAGCAGAGCAACCAAATACTCTTAAATGAGAGTAATTAGCAGGGGCACCAGACCATACCTCTTCTGGAGTCTTGAAATTAATTGCTGTAGAAGGAGATCTGTTTATCAAATAGCAAGCTGTGTTGACTGCCTCGGCCCAAAAGTCTTTTGACAAACCGGCATTAGAGAGCATGCACCGAGCTCTCTCTAAAAGTGTTCTGTTCATCCTTTCTGCAACTCCATTTTGCTGTGGTGTATGTCGAACTGTACGATGACGCACAATACCTTCATTTTTGCAAAACTGATCAAACTCTGTAGAACAAAACTCCATCCCATTGTCGGTTCTGAGGCGCTTCACTTTCTTTCCTGTTTGCTTCTCAATCATAATCTTCCATTGCTTGAAGGTTACAAACACATCACTCTTATGCTTCAAAGGATACACCCAAACTTTTCTGGAAAACACATCACTCTTATGCTTCAAAGGATACACCCAAACTTTTCTGGAATAATCATCAATCAATGTTAGGAGAAAACGAGCTCCACCTTTCGATGGAACCTGAGAGGACCCCAAACATCTGAATGGATATAATCTAAAGTACCATTGGTTCTATGGACACCGGTACTAAAGGATACTCTATGGTGTTTGCCGAAAACACAATGCTCACAAAAATCTAATATCATACCTAGTTTTGATTGTTCCGGCTTGCAATGAGCTGAAGCAGACGTGGATGGAGTCTGGTAAGCGAACATGCTCTCTGTTCATTTTAGTCTCGATCAGTTTTACCTATATTTCTTTTAAATAATTTGCCCAACTCCTTTGTAGACTAGCTTAACGTGTACAGTCTGGTGGAAGTATGAGATTACATGGAAAATGAGTACAACAATATAGGATGTGATCGTCTTAACTTAAAAACTGCCTAAGAATCAATTAGTCTACATATTTGTTGCTCATGGTATCACTTGTTTATCATTGTGAAAACAAAGAAGCTGACTTTACATCTGGAATAGCAATATCTCCTGCAAAACTGGATCACAAGTTACATATGATTTCCGTGTCTATCATACTAGTGACCAAGACACATCCTGGAATCATGGACGCTTCTGTGTTACTCTTGTCAGTTGCATGCTGTGAGAGTAATAACATTCAATATTTTTTCTTGGCCTGGACTTTGATCTAGACATGTTTCTAGATTTGCCTCTACCACCAACACCCTTTTCAGGACGACCACGAGCGAACAAGCCTTCAGCTTGATCCTCTCCTCCTACGACAGATACTTTCTGCCTTAACTCTTTTGAATGTAAGGCTGATTTGACATCCTCCAAAGAAAGTGTATCTCTACTGTATAACATGTTATTGACAAAATTTTTATAGGAATGAGGTAATGAACATAACAAGATGAGTGCTTGATCTTCTTCGTCGATTCTAACATCAATATTCTTTAAATCCATAAGAATAGTGTTAAGTTCATCTAAGTGGTCTTTAATTCGCATACCTTCCTTCATGCGAAGGGTGAAGAGGCGTTGCTTCAAGTAAAGCTTGTTCGTTAGAGATTTCGTCATGTACAAGCTCTCCAACTTGAGCCACAAACCGGCGGCGGTATCTTCATCGGCAACCTCCCGCAGGACCTCATCGGCCAAACAGAGCTGTATGGCACTATGCGCCTTCATCTCCAGCTCTTCTTTCTCGTCATCGAGCATAGATTCTGGCAACTTATCCTTTCCGGATAAGACCTTGAACAATCCTTGTTGTACTAGGAGAGCCCTCATTTTTACTCTCCACAAACTGAAGCTGTTTTTCCCATCGAATTTCTCCACTTTGTACTTTGCAGAAGACATCTTGAAGCTAACTGGAACAGTAACTGTATTTATGAACAGTACTGTATTTGTGAACAGTAACCGTACGTATGAATAATGACCGTACGTGTGAATAGTAATAGTACTTTTGAATAGTACCGTACATGTGAATAGTACCCAGTGCCTTTAAAGAGTAAATGATAATCTAACTTATTTTCTGATGTGGAGGATCCACTTTTAGTGGCAGCCACAGAGCATACGATAAGCAGATACACGTACTCTAAGCAGGCTCTGATACCAGTTTGTTGCAGCGGAGGGGCTTCACAGACACAGAAGATGTCTATACAAGAGTGGACAAATAGAAAACAGCACACCAGGATTTAACGTGGTTCGGTCAGTATGACCTACGTCCACGGGCGAGAACAACAGAGAACTTCACTAATCACCAAAAGAGAATATTACAAAAGAGGAGATCACTCTCTTGCCAGAGACTCACACAAAGAAAGTGAGAAATTCTTTCTATCTCACTCTCTTCTCTCTAAAAGTCTTCTTCACTCTCTTTCTTTTCTTTCTCCGACTGATGCTCTTAAACTCTGCCATAACCCCCCTTTTATAACATCCAGATATTATTTAAAAATTATAAGTTATTAGGTGGAGCTGTAAAATGTTAGGTGGAGGGGTTGGTGATTTTTGTTTTCATGGGCAAAGTCAAACAACACTTTCTATCCTTACCATCTATATCATTTTCACGAATGAGATCATGCCATGTGAGATTTGGATTACTACAAATAGTGGTTTTGAATGTATTGGTTTTCAAGTTTGCAAGTGGTTTTCAAGACCGTAGTTGTTTTCGAGACCATAGTGGTTTTCAATATAACAATAAAAATCTTATATGGCGTGATCTCATCCACTAAATTTAATATAGACGATGGGGATTGAGAGAATTAGACCCTCTCCAATTAGCACATAATTGGAGATGATCTGAATCTGTGAACAGTCTAAAAAGCAATACCATCTAAATGCCACCCACTCCTTCAAGATTTTAGAATCCCGCACCATGCAATACCATCTTGATGTATAAACTTTAATGTTCAGAATTTAATTAAAATCTATATATCCACTTAAGTCTTTATGAAAATTATCTACATGCATGAGTTGTATATTGTGGCTCATAATGAGGCTTGTTCAATGACTAAAAAAAAGCTTAATCACACTTAGTTATCCTATAGTTTTTCCTACTTTACACTTATAATATATCCTTTCTTGTTTTTTGCAGCATTTATATCCTCTGAAGTTTTTAAAGATTGCACTTTAGTACCTAAGTTATTTAAACATGACAATCTTCCCCCGCAAATTCCCATGTGATATTTATATGCTAATTATATAATGTTTTAACTCTTTAGTATTTATCAAATTTGCTGGTAAATATAATGTTTAAAAAAAAAATAGATTTAGTGAAGGTTTAAAATAGAATTGCAATGCTTTTCCGTTGAAGCCTATTTTCTGCAAACGAGTGGAGCTCTTCACCCACTGCTCCGCCTGTATGAGACTCACACGGGTATAAAAACCATTAGCTTTTTTTATCCTTCTCTCTCTTCAGGCTCCACTTCTGAACTCTTCCTCTGTCCTCTGTTGGCACGAACAGAAAGAGGCTTCAAAAGATCCAAAACCCCACCTTTTGCTTTTCAATGCCTTCACCTCTCTATAAGCAAAAGACACCCATCTCTCTCTTTAGCTTTCTTGGAACCCGAGCGCTCTCTCTCTCTCTCTCTCTCTCAAACTTAGTACAATGAGAAGGGGGAAGAGGTGCTTATAATTGAAAGGGTTCTCTGATATAATGGCGGTTGTGATGATGGGTGGGGATGAGAACAACCCAATGTTTCATGATTTCTTGGGGATGAGCTCTGGCGATGGTGATGATAATGGCTCCCCTGCTGTTAACAAAGGAGGAGAAAGGGAAATGGATGGAGAGATTTCTGCTGGGATTTCTTCAGGTGGGGTTTTTGGGTTTGAGTTTTGATCTGGGGTTTTCTTGCTTTTGCTTGATTCCTTGTTCTCTGCTTGAATTTGGTTTTTTTTTTTTTTTTGGTTTTTTCAGGGAACTATTGCTTACAGAAAGTTCATCTTTTGGTTGTTTCTTTGGAATAATTGTTTCCGATTTTATGTTTTTGTGATGTTAATTTAATGTAGTATCTTTTTGGTTCACTTTTTGATTGAAAGTTTTTTTTCTTTCCCCTGTATGATTCAAGCTTTTGCATGTGTGAACATTTTTGGATATTTCTCATGATTAATGGTCCTTTTTCTTTTCCTGATATGCTATTGTGAATGGTCGAATGTTTAGTAATTTTGGTGTTTTTGGAATAAACAGTTACCTTTTAAAAATTGACAGTGTTCTTTAAGTATATTGATATCTTCAGATCATGCATTTACATAATCAATTTTTTTCTTTGAGTTTGATTTCGTGGCCAGGCAGAGAAATTAACTAATTTTTTCTTTTTCGTTTAGCTCATTAGTTATCTCTCTTAACGAAGGACCATGCTGCCAATTTTTTTTTGCTTTTAGACTGGTTTCAGTTGGAACATATTTATGAATACATCTTAAGAATATATTTTGTTAACTTACAAGACTATTTATGACACCTATGTAATGTTCACCTTGATCCCTTTAGCTAACTTTTCTGTTCGAATCTAGTACCATGAAACACTTGCCTTATGAAGACAATTTGTTGGCTTTATACTCTTCTGCTCTTAAAGTCCACCCAGCTTACTTGGTTATTATAGCGAACACTCATATTATCATGTTTTATTTAGTATCCTTTAACTACTTATAATCTCGCAGCATTCTCACTTTGAAAGAATTGCAAAGTCTTAAAGTCCCTAACTGTACACCAAAACTGCAAAGTTATGTCGAGGTTTAAGGGATATAATTTTAGGGCCTGTTTGGCAAACCACTAAAACTGGGTGAGGTTCAAATCTGGACCAGTTATAATATAGTTTTGTGTTTGGTAAAAGTTAGGCTAGAGCCGGCCTAACTTATTTTAGTTCATTTTTAGCCTCTTAACCACACGCTAGAATTGGACCACTTCCTACCCAGTCACAATTCTGGCCTGACTGAAAAATAAAACGTGGCCAGCCTGATTTCTGTCAGGTTGCCAAATAGAGCCTTACATTCTAACGTGCTTTCACAGGTTGGGTGTCCTTTTTATGGGCTAAAACCTGGACACGTGTAACAGTATCAAATTTTAGAAAATCCACTTTAAATTCGTGGCCAGTGGAATTGAACTTGGATTGCTCTAATACCATCCAATACAAAGTTATAGTAAGAGTTAAGGGTTATTGTTCTGTATTCTAACACAGTAATTTCGCTTGAATGATACTAACAGGAAGTCAGCCCTTTGGCACTATATGTTTGAGAGAACTTGGCGATATCTTTTGAGTGTATGATAAACATATCTAGATCTCTTAGTTTCTCTCTGACCTTTTCATAACTTGAACTATTACAATTTCCACTGATTAATGGCTTTTTTGGTCTTGTTTCTCAATGTATGCAATGTTTCAAAAGTTATGCTAACTGCTACTGTTCCCTGTTGCATGCAATTCAACTAAATCCTAACCAACCAGCAGTTGCACTATATCACTTAGTAATATGTGGTCATTGATATTCATGATTTATTACAGTAATAGCACAAAGTTTGTTGTGTTGTACGGATATCATCTATCTTGATTCCTAGCTGTCTTCAAGGGAACAACAACAACTAACATGTCATGTTGCTACCGACATCATCTATCCTGATTCCTAACTGTCTTTTTGGTCAGATTAGCTCACTAGCCCCATATAGTGGAAGATCCTAGGTTGGTTGGCATGTCCTGTTGCTTCACATGGTTGTCGGTTCAGAACAAGTCAAGAGGACTAAGGTCTAGTTAGCACACAGGCACTTGAAGATGCCATGAATGTTGCTAGTCATGTTTATGTTGTGTGATTACCGGTTATTGTTGTATATGCTTTGAATTGAAAAGCAAATGCAAACAGAAGCGGACATCAAGCAGTACTAATGGACAACAACAGCGGTCAGAACGGCAAAGATCATTGCCAGTGGTGTTGGACAGTCAGACTGCCTGGTATACCGCACAACGGGTTTCCTCTCGTTAGAGTCCTATTCTGACTGGGCTTTATTCTGACTGGGCTTTATGGTCTTTTTGGGGCATACGAAAAATACCCTACGTAAAGAGGTATTTTCTCATAGGATCAACTACATTCCGCTACCTTGTAGGATCAACTACATTCCGGTACCTTGTAGTATAATGTAATTACACGAGTGACCCTGAGGTTTGGGTATTTACACGAATAACCTTGAGGTTGTTAATGTTGGATAGCAGTATTCCTAATATATTTGGTAACATGAGGTTATTAGGATTCCTAATCTATTTTGGTAACATGAGGTTATTAGGATTCCTAATTTGTTTTGTTTTTGGTTTTAGGATTCCTAGTCTGTTTTGGTTTTAGTTTTTCTATATATATGAAGATTAGAATCAATCATCAAAAGAGGAGAGTTGCAATCAGAGATTAGAGAGACTTTTGAGCATTGTGAGAGGGAGATATTATGAGCAAGTTGAGAGCTTTGGTTGATGGTTAGTTTGTGAGTTTTGTGATATTGTAACATTTGTACTCTCCTTGATTTAGTGGAATCTCCCAATCCTCTTCCCGTGGACGTAGGCAATTTGCCGAACCACGTAAAATTGGTTGTCTCGCTATTTGTGTGGTTTGTAATAGTTTATTTAGGTTCCCTCGACAAGTCAGTCCTAGAACTGATGAGAGGAAGAGCTGATATCCCACTTTGTTGAGATATTTTGCTTAAGGTTCTTGTTTCCTTTGTGAAACGAAAATTCCTATTGCGATCTGACACTCTTGTTGTGCTGTCGAAGTGCTACCGAAATTTTCGCTGCGCGCAACAAGTGGTATCAGAGTCCAAATTTCAGATCTAGGGTTTTGGAATTAGGTGAAGAAAGATTCTTATGTGAAGCTTGGTTCTTAGAGTTCTAGGTTTCGGTGGAGATAGCATTAGGAGTTGTCGTTGAAGATTTCGCTTTCCTCGTGTGGATATGGGATCTATTTGGAATCCGATCTAGGGTTCAGTTTAGTAATTCTTAATTTTTATCAAAGTTTGATTTTTCTCTACAAATTGGAAAAAGAAGGTGAAAGCAGCAAGTCGATGCGAGTACGGTTCAAGTTAGTTTTCAGAACATCAAAATTAGTGTGATGAAGTATGATAATAAAATCAACTTTGGTTTGTGGATGAGTGACGTACAGGATGCGCTTAATGCTCAGAACTTAGAGGAGACCATCATGGTCCACGAGAGACCACCAAAATATAAAGAGGTGATATGAGAAAAGATGAATAGGAATGCTTGTGGGGTGATCAGGTCCTGTTTGGAACAGGAGCGGAAGTATGATGTGATTGAGGTGTCGTCTGCAATGAAGATGTGGGAAATTCTCAACAATAAGTACCTTACGAAGAGTGTTGAGAACAAGTTGTATTTGCTGCGTAGGTTATTCAAATTCCAGATGTCCAGAGGCACCTCGCTTGCGGCTCATGTGAACAACTATACAAAGTTATTGTCGGAATTGACGAATGTTGATAAAAAGATATCGGATGAGTACAAAGCTATTATCTTATTGGGCTCCTTACCGGATGAGGAGTATGACACATTTGTGCTCATTTTGTTGAACGGGAGATCTTCTATCAGTTATAGTGAAGTTACTAATACATTGATGAATTATGATTTGAGGAGAAATGATAATGAGACTTCCCGTGCTAGTATTTCAGGCGAGACCTTATCGACGAGAAGTAGAAGTTCATATTCGAAAGTTGGTAATAGAGAAAGGTCAAAGTCAAGAGGTTGTCACCAGCTTGGAAAGAACCAATGTGCATTCTGCAAGGAGCAGGGACATTGAAAAAGAGATTGTCCAAAGATCAAAGAAAAAGAGAATAGCAAGAAAAAGAGTCCGAAGGTCAATGAGGTGAATATTACGAAAGACGATGATTCCGATGATTCGAGTTTTTATCTACTGATTACTCTAGAGGTGAATCACTTGGATGCTTTGGATTGGATGCTTGATTCCGACGCTATCTATCATGTGACCCCTAGGCGAGATTGGTTTGCATCTTTTGAGAAGTTCGATGGGAGAGTTATAGTCATGGGAAATGATCAATCCTGTGGTATTTGTAGGATAGGTACCATGCGAATCCGGATGCACGATGGAGTAGTTCGTGAATTGAAGAAGGTAAGATTTGTTCATCAGCCGAAGAAGAATCTTATCTCAGTTGGAGCTTTGGAGGCAAAAGGATTCAAGGTGATATTTGAAGACGCTGTAGCAAAGGTTACTAAGGGATCTTTGGTGGTGATGAAGGGAGTCCGCAATCGAAACTTGTATTATCTGAAGGGGAGCACCGAGAATAGCCAGGTTGTTTCAGCTATTTCAGAGGCGGACATGAGCATGCTTTGACATTATAGGTTAGGGCACACAGGAGAAAAGTCACTGCAGGTTTTGTGCAAGCAGGGGCTATTGAAGGGAGCCAAGAGTGATAAAGTGGAGTTCTGTGAGCACTGTGTTCTTGGCAAAAAGACGAAAGTGAAGTTCAGGACAGTCATTCATAGGACGAGGGGCATCCTGGACTACGTGCACACAGATGTTTGGGGTCCTACCAAGACAGTATCACTTGATGGTCGACATTGGTTCATCACGTTCTTTAATGACTATTCTAGGCGATGTTGGGTGTACACTATGACAAAGAAGAATGAAGTCCTAGATTTGTTTGTGAAGTGAAAGAAAAAATTAAAACTGCAGACTAGGAGAAAGATCAAGACGTTACGATCCGACAACCGTGGTGAATATACTTCAGACCCTTTTTTGCAGCTATGTCGAGACGAGAGCATAGAGAAATACTTCACGGTTAGTCATACATCGTAGCAGAATGAGGTGGCAGAGAGGCTAAATCGGTCTTTACCGGAGAATGTCTGATGTTTATTATCGCAGAGTGGTTTGGAGAAGATCTTTTGGACTGAGACACTTACATATGCTAGTCATCTTATTAATAGGCTGTCTTCATCTGCGATTAAGGGGAAGACCCCTATGGAGATGTGGTCGGGAGAGTCAGCATGAGATTATGACCAGCTCAAGGTATTCGGGTGCCCTGTATTTTATCATGTGGGAACAGATAAATTGGAACCTCGAGCTAGAAAGGTCATATTTGTAGGATTCAAGTGTGGTGTCAAGGAATACAAGCTATGGGATCCAGTTGATTGAAAGATCGTGCTGAGTAGGGACGTCACATTCGATGAGGCTTTTATCTTAAAGCTTCCCAGCTCTCATCAGGTGGAGAACGACCCGACAAAAGAGATATCGCAGGTATTGAGATGGATGCAGCTTCACATTGTCCAGATGGTACAGTTTCCATTAGAGTACCGACTGAGGTGATGCCAGACGAGCACGACGGTGACACGGAGGATACAGGTACTGATGTGCAGGATCAGAGACCGACGGCTCAGGTTCAGGATTCTATTACAGTTCGGAGACAGAGGAGAGACATACAGATGCCAACACGGTATGCCGACACAATTACATATGCACTTCCGGTGGAGAGTATTTATGAGATGGTGCCTACTACATTTAAAGAGACCGAGCAAAGTTCGGAGGCTGATTCGTGGCAGATAGCTATGCAGGAGGAGATGAAGTCTCTTCACAAGAATGATACGTAGGAGCTTGTTGAGCTTCTAAAGGAGCGGAAGACAATTGGTTACAAGTGAGTATACACGAAGAAGGAGGGTATTAAGGGCACTTCATTAAGGGTCAAAGCTAGGTTGGTTACGAAGGGCTATGCACAGGAGGAAGATATTGACTATTATGAGGTTTTCTCTCCGGTGGTGAAGCACTCATCGATTCGGATTTTGCTAGCTTTAGTGGCACATTATGGTTTGGAGTTAGATCAGTTAGATGTGAAGACAGTATTTCTTCATGATGATCTTGATGAAGAAATATGTATGACTCAGCCATTGGGATTCTGAGCTGTAGGAAAAAAAAATTAATTTGCAGATTGAAGAAATCGCTATACGGTTTGAAGCAGTCTCCTCGACAGTGGTATAGGCGATTCGATGATTTTATGATTGGTCATTTGTACACTCGGAACCGGTTTGATCCTTGCGTATATTTTCGCAAGTTGAAAGGAGGTGCGTACATCTATTTATTATTTTATGTCGATGATATGTTGGTTGTCTCTATTTTCAGATCTGTTATGGATGAGTTGAAGGCGCAACTTTCAAAGGAGTTTGAGATGAAGGATTTGGGTGAGGCGAAACGTATTTTAGGGATGGAGATCGACAGAGATAAGAAGAAGTGCAGAATTTGTTTGACACAGGTGGTTTATTTGAAGAAAGTTCTACAGCGATTTCATGTTAGCATGGATACGAAGCCTGTTAGTGTACCTTTGGGAGCCTATTTGAAACTTTTAGCTGACCTTTCACAAAAGACAGTTAAAGATAGAGAGTTGATGTCGAAGACTTCATATGTGAGCGAGGTTGGGAGCTTGATGTATGCGATGATATGTACGAGGTCGGATTTATCACAGGCGGTGAGCATGGTATCGAGATACATGCACGATCCAGGAGGGGGGCGTTGGGACGCCGTGAGATGGATTTTGAGGTACATTCGAGGTACGTTTAATGTTGGTTTGGTTTATGAGAGGGACACTACAGGTGGGCAGTTATGTATTGGCTACGTTGATTCGGATTATGCCGGAGATTTGGATAAGCGCCGGTCTACGACGTGGTATGTGTTCACTTTTATCCGTACGCCGGTGTGTTAGAGATGCACCTTACAGTCTACGGTGGATTTGTATACGACGGAGGCAGAGTATACGGCAGTTACGGAGGCTGTGAAGGAGGCTATTTGGCTTCAAGGACTTTTGGAGGAACTTGATATATCGCAGTGGTCCGTTACCATTCATTGTGATAGCATGAGTGCTATCTATTTAGCTAAGAATTATGTTTTTCATGAGAGGACGAAGCACATTGATGTTCGTTATCATTTCGTTCGAGATGTTCTTGAAGATGGCGATGTGGAGATTGTGAAGGTCCACACGAAGGATAATCCGGCGGATATGCTCACTAAGATGGTTCCGAGCAACAAGTTTGATCATTGTAGAAGCTTGTTGCACATTCGTGATTGTTGATGCCGTTGATGACCATTTGGATGAATTACGGACGGCTTGATCCCTTGGGAGAGGGGGTACGTAGGCAACCACATTGCTGCAGCCGAATTTGATGAGACGACGCATTGGTGCTCATGTTGGTGTCGGCTCTGTTTTGAAAATACTTCACCGATGTGGAGAATTGCTGGATAGCAGTATTCCTAATCTATTCTGGTAACATGAGGTTATTAGGATTCCTAATTTATTTTGGTAACATGAGGTTATTAGGATTCCTAATTTGTATTGTTTTTGGTTTTAGGATTCCTAGTCTGTTTTGGTTTTAGTTTTGCTATATATATATGGAGATTAGAATCAATTATCAAAAGAGAAGAGAGTTGCAATCAGAGATTAGAGAGGCTTTTGAGCATTGTGAGAGGGAGATATTATGAGCAAGTTGAGAGCTTTGGTTAAGGGTTAGTTTGTGAGTTTTGTGAGATTGTAATCCTTTGTACTCTCCTTGATTTAGTGGAATCTCCCCATTCTCTCCCCGTGAACGTAGGCAATTTGTCGAACTACGTAAAATTGGTTGTCTCGCTATTTGTGTGATTTGTAATGTTTATTTAGGTTCCCTCGACAAGTCAGTCCTAGAACTGATGAGAGGAAAAGCTGATATCCCACTTTGTTAAGATATTTTGCTTAAGGTTCTTGTTTCCTTTGTGAAACGAGAATTCCTATTGCGACTTGACTCTCTTGTTATGCTGTCGAAGTGCTACCGAAATTTCCGCTACTATTCAAGAGTTTTAATTCCTAAAGCCTCTTGGCGTAAAGTCTCTGATACATTTATTATCTTTCTTGTTTAGCAATAGTTGTCATGTCCATAAAAGCTTACTATCTTTTTTCTTTGGTAGAGAGGCCCGGGACAAATAATTCTGAGGTGTTTCACTTTCATGGTACAAAGAATGTTATCTCGGAGCCAGAGGCTAGTAATGCACTTTCAGGAAGAAAAAGGAGCAGCTTGTCCTCATATATGAGTTTAATAAGAGAGAAGATGCTTTCGTTAGAATCAGATTCCCTTGAGAGTTCATGTCTAATGAAGGTAGCTTAAGTTTTTCCCCTTCGTTCATGTATTCCTATGAATGAATCTATCTTCATTATATCTCTGTTGCATTTAGTTTTACAAGATTTCATGCTTAAAAAGTTTCTTGATTCGAAACAGACATTTGGAAAATCACATGATGAGGATGAGATGCCCTATTCAATTCAACTACCACCGAGATCGGCTTCTTCGCTTTTATTACATCCACCTCTTGTTGGTAGAGCGGACACACTTATTTCAAAATGGGATCGTTCTCCCGTTAACCCTGGCATTATGGGTCAAAGTGGGGCAAATATCAATAAGTTTTCTTCGTCCTGTTCATATAAAGATGTTAATGTGGGTGCAACACTTATACCCCAAGCTGCAGCAGATGAAGGTTCTAGAACAGGAATGAGAGGCTCTGGGATTTTGAATATTATTAACTCAAGTAGCAGTGGAGCTTGTGAGCTAAAGACGGCCGGGTCCCTCCCTTATACTAACAGATCTAAGGCTCCCCAAATTGTTGAACCTGAATCTTCTAATGTGCCAGGGTAAATATGCAGCTCCTATATAATATTTGATAAATATATAAGTCGTCATCTTGCTGTAAGAGATGATTATGAGATTATTGTTGATATATTTGAATATGTTCTTTGCTTCTGACAGTCGTTATAACTTGGCATCTTCCACCCGGCAGATGACTATATTTTATGCTGGTCAAGCACATGTTTTTGATGATGTTCATCCAAATAAGGTCAGCTCAATTCTATCTAGTTATTCTTTGTTGGGGTTCAATACATTTTTTTGAGGAAGGGTTCAATAAATTTTAACAGTTGGGTGCTATTTATTAGAAATATACTCCATCTATGATCATTTCTTTTCTATTGTCTAAAAACTATGCTTTTTGTTTGAGTAAAGTACTGTTTTTCTTTGAGTCTCCTGACTTACGAATGCATGTATGTTGCTATATTATTTGTTCAACTGTACTACTGTATTTTGAGTCTTTTGACTTATGAATACATGTCTGTTCTTGGTATTTCTGGATCCAAATCTGGCACAGGTAAATGCATGTGAAGTATGATAACCTATTTTCCTTAAGTCAGAGGCCCAAGATATAACTGACAAGTTGACATGGAACTATTACTCATATCTAACTATAAGAAGTATACAACTTTCTTTTTAATGATATCCTTTGGTAATTGTTTGCATAAATTGCATATGATAAGCAATTTGGGATATAAGCAGGCAAGGTAATAGGGCACTTGTTGCCATGTGATGGCTGGGTAACATTGTCATCATACTTATGTGTTTTTGGGACAGCTACTTCAGTTTGAAAGTTATTTTTGCCTTTTTCTTCAAGTAGACACTTTTCAGTTGAAAGTATGCATTTGATTGCTCATAGACATCAAATTGAAAGTTGACCTTAACATATAAAAGTAGACATTTCACTGAAATTGGACACATAGCTGAAAGTAGACAGCTAGCTACTCTTTAGAAACTGAGGACCAAAAGTGGAGGACATTCGCTGAATGGTGAAAGGAATTGAAGAGAATCTGAGCCAGTGAAAGCTCACACAAGATTTTGATTGGCGATTAGAGCAGCTTCTTTCAATCAAACTTGTCTATTTCCAGCTGAGTGTCTTGTTACGTAGGTTATCTACTCCCAATTAAAAGAGTCTACTTTCAGATGAATGTGTCTACTTGAAGAAGAACATGAAAGTGCTGGAGAACAGTAATTTTTGTTAGCATGTGTCAGTTGCAAGTCTTATTTAATACTGTCTGATTTCGATTCTCTCCACTAACAAAAAGTAGTGGAGAGACCATTATTTTTAATCATAACCGGTTCTTATTTGGTTGTTGGTTGACGGTAGTGATTCTTTTTGAGTGAAACATTGTTTGTGCAATACCGGGCGTATAAGATATGTGTTTTGGGACAACTACTTCAGTTTGAAAGTTATTTTTGCCTTTTTCTTCAAGTAGACACTTTCAGTTGGAAGTATGCATTTGATTGCTCATAGACATCAAATTGAAAGTTGACCTTAACATATAAAAGTAGACATTTCACTGAAATTAGACACATAGCTGAAAGTAGACAGCTAGCTACTCTTTAGAAACCGAGGACCAAAAGTGGAGGACATTCGCTGAATGGTGAAAGGAATTGAAGAGAATCTGAGCCAGTGAAAGCTCAGACAAGATTTTGATTGGCGACTAGAGCAGCTTCTTTTAATCAAACTTGTCTATTTCCAGCTGAGTGTCTTGTTACGTAGGTTATCTACTCCCAATTAAAAGAGTCTACTTTCAGTTGAATGTGTCTACTTGAAGAAGAACGTGAAAGTGCTGGAGAACAGTAATTTTTGTTAGCATGTGTCAGTTTCAAGTCTTATTTAATACTGTCTGATTTCGATTCTCCCCACTAACAAAAAGTAGTGGAGAGACCACTATTTTTAATCATAACCGGTTCTTATTTGGTTGTTGGTTGACGGTAGTGATTCTTTTTGAGTGAAACATTATTTGTGCAATACCGGGAGTATAAGATATGTAGTAAAGTGAGAGTGGATCACAACCGTCCATTGCTTACTGGATTGGTAGTGGACGGTTGTGATTAAAAATAATGGTCTCTTTACAACTTTTAGTATTGAAGAGGATCCAAATCCAGCAGCGTATCTTTTCGATCAAAGTTATAAATTCAAAAAAAAAGAAGTTACTTTCTCGGTTGAAAGAGTACTTGTGTAAGAAGGCGAAAGTATGAAGAGGGCATTCTTTTGAAGAAAAGAACAAAAAGAATTACATGAGAAAAGGGAGCCATAAAAAAAATTGCAAGGTTAAACAACATCCCGTGCTTACTGAATCCATCACCCGATGGACACTTTGAATGGCATGATTGGCTTACATTGGACCCTGTAAATGTATTTGTTTATTCCCCAGACTATCTTTACATCTCACATGAGCCACAGCAAGGGTCGCAGGCAGTGCACAGTAAATATGTAAAAAAAAACATATTAACCAGAGTTGCGGGAGGAAAGTGTTGCCAGTACAGGTTCGCTCGTAGATTGTGGCATCAGTAAATCATGTCAATTAGTTATGGTGCAGATGCTGGTGTTGCATGGTTATTTCTGCCATGCTTATGCTTGCAGAAAGTAATCCTGCTTTATTTGCAAAAGATAGGGGGATCTTGGGTATTACTGTCAAAAAAAAATCCCTCTAACCTTGAGATCCCCTTATTTCTTAATTTAACAGTATTGCCTTTAAGATCAGGTTTGAGCTTTCTTAATAAACCTTTGATAGACTAGTCGTTATCAAGTATAAATCATGGAGTACGGGAAAGATGAATCAGGTGAAAGACAACAGGGAGGTGCACGTGAAGTTGGAGCTGAAATATGAATCAGGTAAAGGCCATAGGAAGGTGTACATGGAGTTGAGAGATGTATTTATAAAATATTGAACCTCTAATGCAAGGCATGAGAAGCATCCACAACGGAATTGATATGACCAACATGTTAACTCGATTTCAAATTCCACTGTTTGCGACAAGCGCAAAGGGATTTCTGCTTGTCAATTGACTGATGCGTGAGGGGGACGGTGTCCCAGATGCTTGAGAGGCCTGAATACGCTCATGAGGAATGAATACCTAATTATAAGACCGAGAACCACTACAACCCTTTCATAATCTGATCCCACGTCAGGAAAAAAACCTTAAGATTGTATGTCAGGTTAAAGAAGCTTAGCAGGAGTTAGGAACGGAATCTACAGCCGCTCATTTTGCAAGCCCTGTCACAACACGTTGTTGGTTTCTGATTGCTCATATAATCTTCTAGATGGCATGTTTAGCTTAATGCATATGTAAAGGGAAACTTTTGCTCAGGGAAAGGTTAGATGTAACAATGGTAAAAGAGGAGCAAACATGTATGAGAGATAACATAACATGTTTTTGGTATTAGATTTAGTTTTTGAAATTTGATGATTTAGCTTCAAAACCTGGAGATTTCGTTAGAGAGATGATTAAATATATGTCTGCAGCTCATTTATGATAAAAGTAGGAAACAATGGACTCATATGATACTCTTTGGATTTGCATTGTATCCGCTTCTTCTGTCACTGTGCGATGTTTTAACTGGTGCAATCTATGTATTTATTTATCTCTTCACGTTTTATATAAATGACATGACATAATGAAAAGGAATGTTGTTTCAAGTAACAGGCTGATGTTATAATGGCTTTGGCTGGATCAAGTGGAGTCTCATGGACTACTAACTGCTCTTTAAAGCCTGGTGTTTCTCCACCAGTCAACGTAGCTATAGCTCCTAGAAAAGAGAATGAGTTGCCAAATAATAACAACTTTCGAGTTCCTGCTCGAGGGCTTGTAAGTCAAGTTTCACAAATTCCACTTACGAATGATCTACAGAGCCTAGCACCTGGTAAAGTGTTGACAAAAAAGAAATTCCTTGTTTTCTAATTTTGATTGGATTATGATTCTTATTGGCATTTGGGCTTTTAGGGGTTCGTCAAGGTGATAGAGCAGGCAGAAAAGCAGTGGAATCTGATAGAGACGGTAAAAAAGATGCTTGATAGAGGTCAGAGCCTCTTGCTCTGAGAAGCATCATTTGTTTTCAAGTTGGTAATTTCAGGTTAATATGCTGTATATCATTAAGCCTATCCATCTTGTAAGCTCATATCAGATGATTTTATGTTTTCCTGACTTTTTGGTTAACGAAAGTAAATCTTTCTTGGCATATGTCATGTTTTCTCTGCATCATTTTATGCAACGACTTCTTAAAGGAAATGCAAGGAAAATTAATGTAGACTAAACTTGATAATGCTTCAAGTTACCATATCTAGTATTCATTATAGCTTCTTGTTAACCTCTGATTAGCACAAAGTTCATCAATTAGCAAAATTACTTCCCTTTGTGCTGCTCATGTTGGCACATTCCCAGTTAAAACTTGTCATTCTCATTTGCTCAAGAGAAAGCCACAAGGCTTACTTGGGACCTTAGCAAACTCAAGGGAACGTAAATCAACTGGCGGCCAAATGTAAAAGAACCATTTACAAAAAAGAGTTTGATCTTGATATATATTACTAGAGAGAGACTAGCCCAAACCGAATTTTGCATGTAACATATGGACACTACAATAAAAGTTAGATGTGTCCACACTTATTTTATGACGCATATTAAAGTGTCATTTTATTTGTCAAAAATTAAATAATAGTAACACAAATAAAAAGTATAACAAAATCATGACAAATATTTGTGTCATTAGATGTTTTTTTTTAAGTAAGAGCCGGGCAAGATGCCCTATCAAAAGTATATTATATCTCTCAAAACTTAGTATATACATATAATATCTAGAAGTGATTTCGATATAGACCTTCGGCTCCGAGTAGATGAGCGAACCATTGTCGTCTCTCTACACAATAGGGGTGAATCAAAAGAAAGCACTCTAAAATATGAGAGTAGACTATAGAAAAGAAGTGAAGTTTACGAACAATCGGTAGCTAGCAGATACATCAAGTGGCAAAATAAGAGTTTATATCCATCCCGAAGGACTAATAGAGAAAGTTGGCTATGGATTGGCCCATGCGTCATTGTTGTCCTCACTGGAAGAAAGGAGCTCTGAGATGCCCTTCTCTTGGATAATTGCTTTCAGGTTTGCCCCCTTTTGTTAGCTGGAAAACCTGTCCAGAAACTGAGAAAATGAGCAACCATAGAAGCCAACTTATGAGCTCGAGGTTCTTCTCCTGAAAAGATCAAGTTGTTATGAACTTTCCACATGGACCAACAGATAGTGGGGAAGCAAAACCTCCAGAGTTGTCGAGCCTTAGTGTCAATATCAACATCAGTGCAGATATTAAAGCATTGACTAATATCTGAGGCAATGAAGCGACTCCAATCTTAGAAAGAAAAAAAAAATCCCAAACTTGCTTAGCGAAAGAATAGTATAGGAAGAAATGGTCATGGGTCTCTAGTTCAAGTTGATATATGGAACAAGTAGGATCGCTTGTCCAGCCTTTGATGAGAAGCCTACCTTAGTATTTAGTTTATGCAGGGATAAGAGCCATAGGAAGAACTTGACTTTGCTAGGTAGCATACTTTTCAATATAGTCGAATAGAATGAGTTATGAGTGCCTCCATCAGAAGTGAATTAGTATAAAGATTTGACAGAAAAGATATCAGAATTGTCTTAATGGCCAACACACCTGATCCAACTCCTAGTGCAATTAGATATATAATTAAATATAATTGAAAAAAACTAATAGTCCAACATGGTTGTGAGAGAATTTATTATTACAGTTAAATGATAAATCTTAGATTTTAATTATGATGATGCTTAAACATTTATGGTGGTGTATAATCTAAAAAACTCTATAGTTAAATGTGCTTTGATAATAGTAATCCTAAGATGGGTAACCTTCTGGGAAGTAATAGTATTGAATGATGATACTCTCTATATTTTCATGGTCTAGACATTACTTATGCGTCATCACTCTTGACTCATAAATGTGTCACGAATTTTATGATACATGTGTCACCACTCACGACATATATATGTGTCATGAGTTTTGTGACATATGCTCTAACCACACTTTTAGCATGTACTGCGCTCTATTTGTGCGATACAAAAATGTGTCATGTAGATACAAAAAATATTTCATAATTTACAACTTTTGTTGCAGTGAGATGCTAACATAAGTATAGATCTTAGAGATACTTTCAGTAGGTAAACAAAAGTGCCTACATCTTCTGCAAGATGTCGTCATCCAAGCCAAGGCTGGACGCCAAACACAATAGGTCCTAGAGAACTAGCTCCACCACCAAAGAGGTAATAAGAAAAGAGCAGGAAAACGTGAAATGATTGAGGAAAAGTTGGTAATTTGATCCTAATAGAGGTGACGAGAGATATCTACCTGAGAAAAGTTTATGATATGGATGTTTTTCTACTTTGGAGATAGAAACAGAGACACATTTGGAGATAGAAACAAAGGCACATGCATGCTTTTCTCTTCCCTCCAATTCCTCCCCAGGAGAAGGCTGAGGATGAGGAGATCCTTTCATTTTTCCCTTTTGAGCCCGCCCCCTTTTGAGCCCGCCCCTCTTTTTTTCTGACCCCTCTCTTGTCCAGCATTTCATTCTTGGGTTAATTGTGGATAGACCCCCGTGTTGCATTTATTGCCCTATTGTGAATAGATTCCTTGTAGTTCTACTAGTGCAGATAGACCTTATGTGCTATTTACCCAAGAATGGATAGACCCACTCGGTGAATTTTTTAAAGGGAAAAATGCCTCAAGCCCCCAAAAGTATACAGAATGTGCCGCACCCTCCCCAGGACTTTTTCAACGGGCGTTTTGCCCCCAAAAAGCAACGCGATTTTCTCCTAGCCCCCAAAACAAGCCCCCCACGTGAAACGCCTGTTAAAACTCACACGAACTGCCCAAAATACCCTTCGATTTAACCACCTCCCGTTAACCTATAATGACCTCATTGTTCGTACCATTTCATCTCTCTTCTGTCCAAACTGACCGTCTCCATCAACCCATTTCAAAACCCTAACCCTAAATCAACCGACTCCTAAGTACACCGATTCCAAAGCACAGGGATAAAAAATGACCGGCGATTCAACCTCTAAAGTGACTCCTAAGTACACCGATTCCAAAGCACAGGGATAAAAAATGACCGGCGATTCAACCTCTAAAGTTTGCCTCCATGCCGACCACAACGAAGATGAAGACGCGTCACAGTTCGTCGTCTCAAAAGAGCCCAGACAACAACAGAGTGGACTGATGTTGGAGCTACAATTGATAATGTTCTAGAGGACATCGCAGCCAGCCACTCTCGTGCCAAAAGTTCAGCTCAAGCAGAAAGTCCAGTCTCCCGCCCAGATCTAGAGGGCAGCACCGACACCATCGGCGCCACCGACGAAGCCACTAGAGTGCTCCTTGATCTACAGAGAGGATATAAAGAGAAGCTTATGGCAACAAAAAGAGTGATTTTTATCATAAATTTAATGTTGTTTATCATGTTGCATGATGTGTTAATTGTGAAGGATACTGATAAGTTGTGAAGGTTAGCATGTAGTTGTCAAGAAAATCCATTCATTGTTAGGGTTATGAGTTTTATGTCAAGGTTATTGATTTATTGTGAATGTTACGGTTTAGTTATTGTTATGGTGTTCACTCACCCAAGATAATAATATTTGCAAAATGATACAATGAGAGCCCTAGTTAACTTCTAAAAGTTCTAGGCATTTGATTCCTTAGTCGAATTACAAACCCAAGGCATGATCACAGAAGACTCGACCCTCACCGACTTATCAAGACGACTCTCTGATGTCATCACCAAAAGCGATATTGGTCGACACGAGAGATCCTGACCTCCCATACAAGTCGACGTCTTTATATCGACTCAAGAGACGATTATTAATTAAGACGAGACAACATTCTAACCAGTCAGATAGGCCGACATTCCAGAGTCAACGTGAAAGGCGGTGTCGGTCAACCCTATCATAAAGGACGACCCTACTTAGGACACTCAACCACTCACTGGGCAATTCTCAAAATCAACTGGAGGGACATCCTCTGCTACCAATTAAGTTGAGAATTCGACCCCAGATCCAAGTCTCTATCCCAGAGCATATGTCGACATCTCCGTCCACCTCGGACAAGCCTTATCTAGATTTTTGCCTGATAAGTCTCTATGACTTGTCAGCTCAATCACTTCCTGAAGAATGCGGAAACATCCTCTCCCGTGACGAATTGACTTCCCCTCCAGTCGCCAGCTGACACCTAAAAAGCGAGGGATGATTCAGTATGCCAACGTGACTTCTGCCACGCTATCAATCACTTCTCAGAAAATGCGGAGACACCCTCTCCTGTGACGAAGTGACTTTCCTCCAGTCGTCAGTCGACACCTGTAAAGTGAAGGATGACTCACCTTCCAACTCACACTTTGTCACCGCCATTGGCATGGCCGAAGTGACCAATCTGCGAAGAAGGATCCTCTATATATACAAATGCTATTGGCCATTGCCGGAGGAGGGAGGTGAGCAATCTAAAACCCCCTAAAGCATAGATGACACAAAAACAAGAACACACAGTTCTTCGTCCATACATAGGAGCTCACGTAGATCCTCTGGGTATGCACCTTGCCACCTTAAAAACCATATCGGTTATTGACCTTCCCCTTCCCCACTCGAGTTCCACTAACTTGACCGTCGGAGGAACCACGGGGGAACCGGTCCCCGCCCTCTCACGGTTCTTCTTGTTTGTGCAGCGTGGACATCAAACCCTCGTTCGAGAATTAGGCATAAAGTCAAAGAAGGGAGCGGGCCCTCCATCATCCTTCATCAATCCGTGACCATCCTCTTCTGGATTAATCGGCTGTTTGATATTGAGCATCAATAGTTGTTAACGTTTTACTTGATAAGGCTCGGAGTTTGTTGTGAATGTTACTGTTTGTGGATATCTGTTAGTTGTTGAGGTTACTATTAATCTGTAAGGCTTATACTTTTATTGTTAAGCTTATTTATTGGTTGTTGATGTTAGGCTTTGGTTGTTAAGGTTACTAGTTTGTTGTTAAGGTTACAGTTGTTTTGTCAAGTTTACAGCATAGTTGTTATGTTTATTGATTATTTTCAAACTATTTATGTACCGTGGTTTTTCTTTGTAGACAAAGTGCAAAGTCCACTTGTACGCTGCTGCCCACATCCAGCTTCAGTGCTTATTACGAGTTCATACACA